TCTCTCCCACCACGCCCCCCGCACCACCCCATGCACCCCCCGCCAACTCCCCCCTCATGCCCCCTCTCGGCGGGGCGCAGCTGCTGGAAAGCAGCCCGCGGCTGAAACCCGTGTGGGGATCTACGAAAGCGCGTTTGCTCACCCTGAGATCCAGCCCTGCGAGAAATCGCAGCATCGCAGAAGAGCATAACCGCAGCCGTTGGCCTCATCCGTCTGCTGTATTCGTCGAGCCAGAGCGATCTGCGAAGGCCCCGGGGCCCGAAACCCAGCGAAGGCGCCTTCCGCGAAAAAATGCAACGCCCATATCCCGACCAGAAGTCAAAGAATACCATCTCTTCTGGCGGCGCGCACCAGTGGGGAAGGGGGAGGGGGGGAGGCTTCTTGAAGGAGGCTGCCCACATCTACAGATATAAAGCCCACGCCTGCAAAGAGATGGGGGTGCTTCTAAGAAGCCCCCCCCTACCCCCTTTTGCGCGTGGCCGACTCTTCTCTGTGTACCCGTCGGTCGGAAGAAGTAGGAAAAAACATGAAGTAGGAAGGCGGATAAAGTGGATTGGGTCCAGGCCCTCCCAGAGAATAACAAAGCACTGCAAAACCATGCCGACTCTTGGAGCAGGAAGGCGCTTGAAGGAGATTGGGATCTGGGAATCCAAGAATACCTCCTTTCAACGACCAGCGTGTACCGTTCGCCCGACGAGCTCGAGCGCCGAATGCCTCGGGGCGACCGTCCTCGGCGGCGGCGGCGCCCACGAGCAGCGCCAGCCCCTCGGCGGCGGCGCTGCCGCCGCCCGCGAGCCGCGGCTCGGCGGCGCGCCAGGCCCGCTCCAGCGGCCCGCGGCCCTCGCACAGCGGCCAGAGGCTGGGCGCCGCGGTCGGTTGGCCACGCTCGGGGGCCTCCCAAAAGGCCAAAGGCCTCCCCCCCGATAGGGGCCAGCGCACCCCTGGAGACTCTCTGTGGGCTTCGCCCGGGATCGGCTTCTCCCCTCTCCCTTTCAGAGACCGAGGCCCTGCCTGAAGCCTCCCGGAACTCCTGTTTTTTTTTCTCAGGGCTTCGGGAGGGGTGCGGAGGGGGCCTCGGCCACTTTGGAGGCAAACGACCCCTGAGGGATTCGGGGGGGTGCGGAGGGGGCCTCGGCCACTGTGGAGACAAACCATCCCTGTCAAAACCTCAGCTCTCTGGGAGCGGATGAGGTCGCAGGATCGCGCGCGTCGCCGATGCCTCGGAGGCGCACCTGCCAGGCAGCGGCGAGGCAGCGGCGACGTCCGCTGCCTCGCCGCTGCCTCGCCGCTGCCCCTCTGTGTACGACCGTTGCGCGCCATAGAACCCAAAAAAAAGCGTCGCTAAGAAGCCCAGCCGGTATCTGAGAAGGTCGCCCCCCTGGCGCAACCGGCTCGTGTGCGCCGCCAGCTTCCCCGTGCGGGCAACGGACCGCGGGACTGGCTGGCAAAGAGGGTTAGCGCACGCACAGCCCCTGCCAGAGGCAATCACCACTTGCCGTGGAGAGAAACACTGCTGTTATCGGCGGTGGAAAAACCTCTCTTCAGTAGACCTCACCTTAGTGAAAACGGCCTGGGACCGAAACCGACGGACCTGGACCCACAAAAAAGACAGCCGCGACGCCCTCTCGCGAACCGAAAACGGCCAATTCCTTAATCGACGTGTCAGGGTAGGAGGTCTACCCACCTCCGATGTTAGAGGATAAAGGAAAGCATAAGCGCAAAATTCGGAGCTCAGTGCCAGTTTCTTGGATGTGCGCTGAACCCCCTGTCTGACGCGCGGCTCCGAAATCGCCGCCAAGGGGGGCACAGCGCCGATCCGGGAAGTCCACGCGGAGAGTTCCAAAAAGTGCATGTTGGTGCAGTGGCTTCTCCTTCGACTGCTGTGGGACGCACAGAGACATACTAATACTATATGTCCTCCTTGGAGGCGCGCGTCCGACCCGAACAGATAGTATACCCATCTTGTAGTACATCGTTTCCCGAGCGGTGTGGCCAGAAAGCGCCCGCCACGCCGCATATACTATGAGATTTCTCGGTGCGCTCGTCGCCCCTGGGGGGGCGCGACGCACATATAGTATACGTATGTTGGGGTGACGCCGATACTGAGAGCAGGCAAGATTACCTGGCTGGGCTGTGTGCGCGCAACCTTCCCCCAGCATCCGGCGTCGTGAAAAAAAAGAGTCACAGCGGCGCGTGAGACCGTGGTCGGAGCTGGTGTTCCGCACAAGCCTTCGATGCAAGATGGGTCCGTGGGGCTGTCCAGGCGGGGCAAAAAGTCTTACTGCGACGTTTCGCGACGCTCGGGTGCGAGGGCCGCCAGGACTATAGCAGCCAGCTGCGGCAGCCGCTCCTGAAGGCATGCAGCCGAAAGGAAGTCCCGAGGGACAAGAATCCTGGACACCCCCCCAGAGGCTTTCCCGAACTGGCCGCTCATCCCGAGCCGTTTCTGGAAGGCCCAGCCAGGGCCCGCCAAGACGTCCGACGATACGAACTGTGCCATCTTCGGCGGTGGACAGACCTCCCTTGAGTAAACCTCCCCTGAGTGAAAATGGCCTGGGACCGAAGCCGGCGGACCCGGCCCCGCAAAAATGACGGCCGCGACGCCCCCTCGCGAACCGAAAACGGCCAATTCATCAATCGACGTGTCAGGGTAGGGGGAAGGAGGAGGAGGAGGGAGGAGGAGGAGGAGGAGGAGGAGGAGGAGGGCGAGGAGGAGGAGGAGGAGGAGGAGGAGGAGAAGGAGGAGGGGGAGGAGGAGGAGGAGGAGGAGGAGGAAGAGGAGGAGGAGGGGGAGGAAGTCTGAGTCTGTTCCTCGACTTCGGTCTCCGGAGAGCCCGTGGTCGGGCCCGGCCCTAGAGGGGCCATCCAGAGGAGCTCCGAGGCGAACAAAAACTGGCCCCCGGGAAGCGATCGGGGCCTCTCCCTCCCTCCCTCCTTCTCTCCCTCCCTCCCTCCCTCCCTCCCTCCCTCCTCCATCCCTCCCTCCCTCCCTCCCTCCCTCCCTCCCTCCCCTCTGGAACCGTGGATTGAAAAGTCAGGCCGGTGCCAGGACGCCCGGGGAAGGCCCAGGGAAGCCAAGCATGGGGAGGGAGGCCCCATGCCTCGACGAGAAACCTGGCCCGATGCGTGGCCGCCGCGCTCGCCGCGGCGACCTCCAACACCGACCCGGGGGTGTGGTTCGGGATCGGAGGTCACGCAACGGGTTGTGGCGGCGCGCGGAGGGGGGCAGGGGGGAGGGGGGAAGGCCTCTCAGCAGGGGGCCGCTTCTCTGAAGGCGCCTGCCTTCCATGTAAAGAGAGAAGGCCCGCGCCTTCGGAGGAGCCGGGGCGCTCCTGAGAAGCCTTCCCCCCCTCCCCCCCCTGCCCCTCCCCCCCCTGCGCGTGGCCGACAGTTTCGGCGCCCCCTGGCGCCTCCGGGGCCCCCGCCGGGACGGCGGTGGACAGCCGCCTGGCCAGGCCAGGCGCGGGCCGCCCCGCGCACGCGGCCCGCCAGGCCCTGCGGGGCGCAGGGGGGCCCGGGCCCGCGGGGGCCGAGAGGTGCAGGGCGCCCGGGGCGGGGCCCGAGCGTGCCTCGAGGCACGTCGTCCCGGAGATCCTGGCGTCGCGGCGTTGTTCACGAGGGGGGTCCTATCGCCCGGCTGCGGGCCCCAGGGCCGTCACGGATCGATCCGGCGCGAAGAAGGAAGCAGAAAGACAGGGTCCCGGGCGCCAGTCGTGATTGTTCGCGTTGCAGTTTTTTCGCAGCGCCAGATCTCAGGGGTAGCGGAGTGCCACAAGGCTCATGCAGCCCTGAGGTAGAGGGTTTGTGAGACGATCCTGGGCCCGCCAGGACGGCAACCCCGCCCAGGAGGCTTACAGGCTCCAAGGATATAGACCACCACCACCACATCCCCCCCCCTCGCACTCTTCCAGCCTCATCTTCCTCCTCTCTTTTCTGCGAGAGGGAGGGGGCGAGGGAGGTGGTGGTGGTGTATACAGTTGGGCGACGGGGTCGGAGGATCGCGCCGCATCGGTCCGAGCAGGTGAATGGGTTGGGGCCCGACCCTGAGAAACGGGCGTTGCATTTTTTCACACCAGGCGTTTTCGCCCGGTTGTTTGCCCCGGGGCCCTCGCAGATCGATCCCGCTCGAGGAATGCCGCAGCGGAATGGGGAATGGGGCGCCAGTCGTGATTTTTCCCGATGTTGCAATTTCTTCGCAACGTCCGATCTCAAGAGGTAGTCCGAATAGGTGGGGCCTTGGGACTCGGAAACGCATGTTGCATGACTGGCCCCGGGCAGGCGCCTTGGCCATGCCAGGGCCCAGAATGGACATGGCCGCGCATGGTGGTGATGATGATGCTTGCTCACAGGGGTTCTTTTTCCACGGTCCCAGGAGGCCCGAAGACGGACCACAGGAGCAGAAGAGGCCCAAGACATCTGACTCGACAGCTCCGAGCCCCTCGAAATCTGGGTTCACCCCCTCCCATGTCCGCCACCGTGCCTGCGGGCACGGAGGGGGCATCTCCTCAGGTCCGTTCCCTGAGCCTCGCAGCCTAAGACCTCAATCATGAGGAATCGTTGAGGGCCCTGGACCCCAAATTGCCAAATCGCCCAATCTCTCGGGGCCAAGATGCCCCGAGAGGCCTCCTAAGAGGGCCCCACGAAGCAAAAGTCATTGATTATCTTGTGGTGTTTGACAGGTGCTGGCCTTCTCGCCCTTTCTTCTTCCCGACGTTCCAAGACGACCCAGGAGGCCCCAAAGATCGCACCAAGACGGCCCCAGAGGACCCCAAGAGGGTCCCAAGACGGCCCAAGAGGGCCCAAAGACGGCTCCAAGACGGGTCCCAAATGGAGACCCCGAACGAACACTTCGAGCCCTCGGCCCCGAGGGGCCCCCAGGAGGCCCCAAGGGGCCCCCAAGAGGCCAGCCGGAGGCCCCAAGAGGCTCCCAAGAGGCCCCACGAGGCCCTCAGGAGGCTCCCAAGAGGCCCCAAAACTGGCCCCAAGAGGCCCCCGAGAGCGCTCCGAAGAGACCCCAAGAATGCCTGAGAACTCTGACCAACGAGCTAGGCCTGGTGGCGGGATGGGCCCAAGGCCATTCGATGGGCTGCCTCTGCAGATCGCCCGGGTACGCCGAAGATGAAGGGGCCCTGAGACACACACACACACACATACATATATATATACACACACAAATAAAAGGATTCCCCATAGTTCCCCATATGTTCTGGGTTTTTGTCTCCCCCCCACACTTTCCATATGTTCCTATATTTTCCTGGGGATCGACGATGAATTGTGCCTGTGTTTTTTCCCTCCTGAGAAGAGGGGGGCCAAGACGAGGGAGGCCAGCGCATCATGATCCGAGGCACGTGCGCGGACGAGGCGGGAGCGCCAGGGAGCGGGCCGCAAGAGACAAGGGGGCGCCACGAAGCCCAGGAGATCTCACGGCCAAAGCCACGATTGAAGGGGCCCTGGGATACACAAATAAATACACACAAATAAAAAGGCTCCCCATATTTTCCCATATGTTCTGGTGTTTTGTCTTCCCGCCCAATTCCCATATTTCCCCATATTTTCTTGGGGATCGACGATTAATTGTGTCTGTGTGTTTTTCCCCTCCTGAACGACGTCCAAGCGTAAAGCCAGCCTGCATCCTGTCCCTATGGCATGCCGATCCCCAAGACTGGTCACGATTGCAGGGATGTGCCCTGAAAAAAACTGCGGGTGTGGAGCCCGCAAGGTCGGAACCGCAACACGGCGACGCCTAGATTGTCAATGGGGTGATGTTGCAAGCTGGGAAGCCACCCACGGTCCAGAGCTGACCGCACGGGCTGTCACCGCACAGTTTTGGGACCCTGGAAACCCCAGTCGCCCGAGACATTCTCTGAGAACGACCCAAGTCCCAAAACCGTGCGGTAACCCCGAATTCCCACCGACCAGCCCCACCGAATCCTCTGAATCCCCACAGTGGGGGTACACGAGGTTGAGGAGGGCGAAGAGGACACGGACAAAACTGTGTGAAAGTGGCGGAGGAGGTGGCGGAGGTGGAAAGGGGGCTCTGCCCTAGGTGACGCCGTCTTCTGAGAAGACCAGTGCGGATTTCACGATGTCGTGCCGCTCATCTGGGGCAGCGGCATGCTCAACATGTTCTCCCCACGATGCGGTTACCGCAACACTTGGGGGTCTCCGACTGGACCTGAAAACCGGGACGCTTCCGCACCTTTATCCGGGGAACCGCGGTTCGGGACGACCGCGAATGCACCTGGTGTGACACACTCTGAATACGTTTCACCGATCCCCATCCCCAACGACGTGGCCTGGGCCCCACTGGCCGATTTACCCCCCTAGATGAGCATCTAGGTCGTTCTCTTCGGGTTTCGAAGAGTGTATCCCCAACTGGGGTGGTAATTTGGTGGGGTCTCGAAGGGGAGGGGGATGGGGATGGGGATGGGGATTGGTTAAACGATACCGACAGACACACACACACACACACACACACTGTTCTAGCGTTGCGGCCACGCGCGCGGTGGCGCGGCATGAACCGTCGAGCGGGGTCGGGCCCGCGGCCGGGTCAGCGCACGCGGCGGGGGGGCCAGGGACCCGCCCACAGGGGAGCCACCGGCTCCTCGCGGGGGGCCGCGATTGGAAGCGGAGGGGGAGAGAAGGAGTGTGGCAGCAAGTGGAGGTGTGCATTGCACGAGGCAAGAAGTCGCAGCGCGGAAGTGCAACCTAGCTTGACACACACGCACGCACACTTTTTGGCGTCGCGGCCCCGCACGCGGCGACGGGGCGTACAAAGTCGAGCGCAAGCGGCGGAACGCGCGCGTCTACGCCTGGCCGAGCTTTCAAAGACCATGTAGGGTCTCGCAGCCGGCGGCAGCCATAACCATCCAGGCCTAGATGGCAGGGAGGGGCCATGGGCGGACGAAACTCCTGTGAGGGTGGAGGGTGACATAAGCCAACGGGGACTGGAAGGCGGGGAGAGCGAGTTGCCGAGAGTGGACCGACGAAGGAGTGCGCCAAGGAGCGACGGCGGAGAGCGAGCTAAGCAGAAGGCGGCGGAGCCGCAAAAGGTCGCATCCTCAAGGAGCCGACACACACACACACACACACACACTCTGGGACGCCCCCCTCTAGCGAGACGTGCCATAATCAGGCCAAGGGGGCACGCCCAGTGCCTGCTTGCGCCGCAGTCGGGCGAAGACGTGCCGCCAGCGGGCACTCCGGGGGGCCGCGCTGGGACCGCGCGCTGCACGGGAGAGGGGGCGCGCCCCCCCTCGCAGGAGAAGGAGGGAGGAGGGAGGGAGGAGGGAGGGAGGGAGGGAGGAAGACTGGGAGGCGGAAAAGGGAAGGGAGGAAGGAGGGAGGGGCCCTCACCTCCCCCGTGGACGTCCCCGCATCCTCGACCCGGGGGGCGTCGCGGCTCGGGCCTCCACCGGGCCTGCGGGCCCAGCTGGCGGGCCCCCCGGGCGGGGAGCCGCCGCGGGGGCGCCATGGGCCGCCGCCGCCGGGCGCGCCCGC